GAAAAAAATTGGACTCGCATTTGGTAATGCAAGGTGTTTTTTCACTTCACTTTTCTAGTAATTTTTTTTTAACTTAAAAAAAAATTTTTTTGGTCTTTTTGAAACAGGGTCTCCCTGTGGCCCCAGCTGTCCTGGAACTCACTATGTAGACCAGGCTGGCCTCCAACTCACAAAGATCCGCCTGCCTCTGCCTCCCTAGTGCTGGGATTAAAGGCGTGTGCTACCAAGCCCGGCCCTATTTTTATATTTTTATGTGTATGCATGTATTGCCTGCATGTAGGTAAGTGTACCCCTGTTGTACAATGCCCACGGAGGACAGAAGAGGCTGTTGGATCCCCTGGAACTGGAGTTATGGACTGTTGTTAGCTGCCATGTGGGTGCTGGGATTCGAACCCGGGTCTTCTGCAGGAACATTCAGTGTTCTTAACTGCTGAGCCATTTCTCTAGTCCAATACAGGCTCTTTTTTAAAGCTTTCATTTTAAATCATGGGCATGTGTATGTTTGCATACAGGTATGTATATGTGAGTGCAATGCCTTCAGAGGCCTAAAGTGTCTGCTCTCTCTCGAGCTGGAGTCACAGGCAATTCTGAGCTGCCTGATGTGGGTTCTGTGTAAAACCAATACATGCTCTTAAGTGCTGAGTCATCCCTCCAGCCCCCTAGAATACAGTCTCTATGGATTCTTTAAATTTTTTCTAAAAACTTATTTTTACATGTGTCTTGCCTGCATGTAAGTGAACTCATGTTGTACAATGGCCAAAGAGGTCAGATGAGGGCATCAGATACCCTGGAAGATAGTCAGCTGCCATGTGGGTGCTGGGAACTAACCGAGACCCTCTACAAGAGCAGCTCGTCCCTTTAACCAATGAGCCCTCTCTCCCACCCCAATTACAGTCTCTCTGAAGGCAGGAATTTATTTTCATGTATCTAACACTCCCAGGAACCCAGTAGGCTCTCACCAAAACTGAACAAAGTGTTTCTCCTCTGCATCTGTCACTACGCAGTATGCACATACTTATATCAACTTTGCACTGTGTCCCTATTTAAACGTATGCTCCATGAAGGCTGAGATTTTTTTTTTTTTTGTCTTGCTCAATACTACATTCCTCATGCCTAGAATAGTCCTTGGCACTTGTAAGCATTCAACATATCATAATATAACATATCGGTGGTGAGCTATAATCCATTTTAAATTTTAAGGATGATTACGCGTGCAGATAGTGTGTTTTACTCAAGCTGTATTTAAAACTAGATGCTGCTTTATTTTTATTGTAAGAGATTATTAAGTCTACAAATGATGCTTCAGTTCACAGTGCATCCTCAGCAGGATAACTGCTTAAATATGACCACTGGACTGGACTGCTGGCTTTATCTATGAACACGGTGGCAGCCACTAGGTCCCAGGCAGGAAATGCCAGCACACGTTTGTTCACTAATGGTTATAACCAGACAGTCCTATTTAACAGCTGAGTAGATCTGGGAACAAAGGTACAAGCAAAACCAAATGATTCACTGGCCGGTCTTCCTTAATGTATAGAACTCCTGACAGCAGAAGTCAAGCTTTCAGTAGACACAGAGCATCCCCTGGGAACACTTCTAAAACCCCTGCCCTTGATTTCTAACTCCAGAGATGCTAATGGAACAGAGCTGGGGAGATGTCCAGAGACTTGGCAAAATCTCCCCTAAAGTGAGCTCCCCAGTGGGGAGGTCCAGGGCTCACGTAAGATTTTCTAGAGCCAAAGAAATCTGTATTTTGAAACATTTCAGAAGGATTCTCTTGTTCCTGGAGTTAAAAGAACAACTAACTACATGAGCTTGCAAACCCCTCATATTTGAAAATGGGTCTGTCTCAGGGCTGGAGAGATGGCCCAGTGGTTAAGAGCAATGACTTCTCTTGCAGAGGACCTGGGTTCAGATTCCTGCACCCACATGGTAGCTAACAACCATCTGTAACTCCAGTTCCAGGAATCGGATGCCCACTTCTGACCTCCACAGGCACTGCACAACGCGGGTGAACTTACACACATGCACGCAACACACTCATACATAAAATAAAAATAATAGATAACATATTTTTAAAATGGGTCTGCCTCCTTCTTTCTATATGGCTTCAGTCTCCTTGAAGCTGACCACCCTGCTGGCCTCAGACTACTTCAAAGACATGCAGCCACATGCTTTACCTTGGAGAGTCTGAAGGAGTTTAATTATACTACAGCTAAGAGGAAGTTGACAGCTCCATGCTTAAAGGGAACTATATAACCAGGCT